GGGGGGGGGGGGGGGGGGGGGGGGGTGGACAGTACAGGCAAAGAAGAGAGCCAGGTCACATACTGGAGGAACAGGAAGTGTTGATGTGTCTTGAGAGGAGACAGCAAAGTCAAGAGCAGGCAGTGCATTGGGCCAGGGGGTCAGGGGCAAGGGCACATGGAGAATTACAGTCCTTTCAAAACAGCTGTGATTTTATTCCATGGGCAATGGAATGTCAGGTGAGTATCACGATTTGATTTATATTTTTCAAAGCTTATTCGGATTGCTTAGTGGAGAACGGATTTGGGGAGATCCTGGGTAGAAGATGGCTTTCCAAGTCTAGCTTCGTTGTGCTTCTGCATAATAATTTCTGTCATTGCCCCCAAACAACCTGGGACCAAAAAATCAACCTTCGTGTTCTTAAATTCAGTCTAGGCTGCTTTAAAAAATTATTGTGTTGTTTATTTTCTGTGTATTTTGCAGGTCATGGGGGCCATCTGTTATTGTCACTGTGAAATTACTGATGGCTAACTGGAATGAAAGTGCAGAAACGATTTTTTTCCTAAAGTTTTTTTTTCTCCCCCCCCCATTTTTTTTTAACCATCAGCACTCTCACCATTAATACAAAGACAAAAATAAATTTTCAATTCCCAGAACTGGCATTTCTCTCAACGTTGCCCGACATGAATTATAAAAATGACAAATGTTAGCCTTCAAACCAGAAAATAGAATACCAACTACCCTTCCACAAGAATCACAAGAACAGCCACACAAGGCTGAAACATTGTAATCAATGATGACAATTATTAAGCATTATGCAAAATAGTAAACCCGATATAATGAATAATAAAGAATCTGGATAACTGAGGTGGGCAAGGTTGGTGTAAAAATAAGGAAAGATATTTGGTGTCTTCAATACCAAGAATACAGCTTAATGGTGACAACCAATCTGAGTAATTCTGTACAAAACGTAGTTCTTTTATGGTACAAAGTAGATAATAAATACACATTTTTAAAGAATAACCAAATATCCATTAATTTAGACGAGGGAAAAAAAATTACTTGGGGGTATCCTGATCCAAACTGACTAGATCATCGTCATTTCTGCTTCCTTCATAAAGATTGCAAATACTTCTCCCTCCCTCCTTCCTTCTGTCTTTTCCTTTTTCTTTTTTTCCTTCCTTTCTTCTAAAAGGTAAGAGGACTGTTTTCAAAATAATTATACAAAGAAATTTATATCTTGATTCAAAATGTTGGGGCGCCTGGGTGGCTCAGTCGGTTGGGCGGCCGACTTCGGCTCAGGCCGTGATCTCGCGGTCTGTGAGTTCAAGCCCCGCGTCGGGCTCTGTGCCGACAGCTCAGAGCCTGGAGCCTGTTTCAGATTCTGTGTCTCCCTCTCTCTGACCCTCCCCCGTTCGTGCTCTGTCTCTCTCTGTCTCAAAAACAAATAAACGTTAAAAAAAAATTAAAAAAAAAACACCCCAAAATGTATTATCACATTATAATTGTGTTCTACGATAAAGTATGTCTAAATAGTTGACATAACTAAATTGTAGCCTGGCTAATCCAGGCCGTTTAGTTTCAATATATCAGTACGCATTACTGTTTAACAAAACTAGGAAAAAAAAACCGTAATGAAGATAAGTACTGTAATACAGTCAGCCTGAAGCCATGGGCCTCTTGTATCCAAGGATAGACACATACAAAAAACTGCCCTTGGATACACACAGACATCTATGCACACACAGCCTTGATATCCAGAAATAATTGCCTCCTGAGAGTTGCTACCCTTTCATATTTCAGTCCTCGACTGTTGATGAGCAGTGTCTCCCAACATATTTCTAACTTTATTAGATTTTTAATTTATAGCCAATACCATAGTAGTAAAAAGAAATTAAATGTCAAAGTCACCTTTTAACTTGGATACCATGTGTCTCCAAGAAAAATCATAGCCTTCATGCCTTTACCCATAAGTTAAGGAAAATCCAACTCAAAGTGACAGGTTATAAGGACGTACATTGTTGCAAAAAGCAAAAGGCCCAGAGAAGTGTGACTATGGAGCAGTTGAAGAGGGTGCACCAGTGAGATCCATAAAGACTCATGGTTCTCCATGGTTCCATTCTGCTCAGCCTTAAGAGTTAGCATCTTCTCACATTAGTGCCTGCCAACCTCATAAGCTGACCACCATGCATGACCCCAGCGGGTCCCCGTACAAACCAGACCATGATGTGAGCCAGAAAACTAAATACACCCTGTTTCTTTTTGTTCTCGAAGAAACTTTCCTCAGAAGCCTTCCACTAGGCTCACCATTGTATTTCACTGGTTGCATACTAACCTCAAAATCAATTTCAGGATATGGAATGAAGACCACCGTTCTTGGCCTATAACAAGTAGGCCGCTTCTGAGACTTGTGATAAATCAAGCTTCCCCCAAGTACGTGAGCAGACAAGGACACATACCTGGCCCTGGGGACCTGGTGTGAGGGGAAAGGCAGGGAGAGAGCCGGGGTTGAGAAGGCACAGCAGACTACTGAGAAAAACTTGGGGAGCTAGCATGGAATAAAGAGGGAAGAGGGCTGCTGGAAACAGGATGATGCCGTTCTGCTGGGGGAGAGAGGCCCTCGGTTTCACAGCTTAACTCTGTGCTCCCGGTATTTCAATGGCAAAGAGATTTGTGTCCCCAAAATTTACAGAATTGGTTAAATCAGACAAAATGACCGTATGTGTCACAGATGGAAGTTTATTCAAAGCCTCACTTACCTATGGATACATTTTGCAAAAACAACCAGTGTCCGATTGTGGAGTCCAAAACGGTGAGCAGTATTTCCATTTGACGATTGCATGAAGAGTGGCCTTGGAAGGTCTTGAAAAGTGGCTTCTTGCGTATTGACGAAAAACCCTGTGGTAATAGTTGGGTTTTATAAATTAACATTTCGGTCTTAACATTACCATGCAGGCTTTTATTCGGCCACTTAATTTCTCTTAATCTATTTCTTGGCAGATTCCTGAATAATCTAATGGTGTATTACTCAACATCGTTTTAAGTAATAAATGCAGAATAAGACTAATTATCTTTTTCTCAATTTTTAAGATCCTGACTTTAAGGACCTTGGCGTTTTGAAACCATTACCAGGTTGGTAACGTAGATATTCAATAATGTTCAGAGGTCTCTGTTTTCTGCTCTGAAATATACTTTTGGTTTATTATTCAAGCTCCATTTCTATATGTTTGTTTGGCGTTTCGTTATTTAGCATGTGAGTTTGAGATGGGCGGCCCAGAAGGAATTGTGGAGTCTGTACAGATTATGAAGGAAGGCAAAGCTTCTGCCAGCGAGGCCGTGGATTGCAAGTGGTACATCCGGGCACCTCCACGATCCAAGGTCAGTCTTAAGGGGAAAACAGATTCGACAGTCAGCTTGGGAAGTGTCTGCAACATGCGCGGCCTTTAACCCACCGGACGCGCTTAGTAGGTTTCAGAGTGCGATCATAAGCTGTCATTTTTCTTTCAGTTTCGAAACGCAGCCTGTCTTTCCCCATCCCAGGAAACTTTCAATGTCATAAATAACATGGAGAGGGTGCTGAAGAGGGCATTTGATCACCTGCCCAAGAGGCTGTAATGTAACTGCCCCCCGCTGAAAAATGGATTGAAATGCTATCTGTAAGCTAAGATTCTAAGTATAATTACACATACGCTTTTACTGTCAGTATCTGCACTCTGTTCTTGTTTTAACCTAAAATCCTATCTTTGGAAGAAATTGCCCAAGACTTGTAAAATCATGTATCTCTGGCATATAAAATACCTTATGATAAGGCTGGGGGTCTAGTGCCCAGGCAAAGAGACCAGCCAGGTCTTCACCTCCTCTTACCCTCCTTTCTCTCTCTCTCTCTTTTTTGAAAATTTTTTAATGTTTATTTATTTTTGAGAGAGAGACACACGGTCTGAGTGGGGAGGGGCAGAGAGAGGGAGACATAGAATCCGAAGCAGGCTCCAGTCTCCAAGCTGTCAGCACAAGAGCCTGATGCAGGGCTCAAACTCCTAAATCGCCAGATCATGACATGAGCCAAAGTTGGACACCCGACCAGCTGAGCCACCCAGGCGCCTGTATCACGCTTCTTTCGATTGTCATTATGAAAAAGTATTGCTGCATTACCAAATCCTCCAATTTTTTCATAATGTGGCAGGAGTTGGAATTTTATGTAGGTTACCTTGAGTTTTAAATGCTGGCAATACTTTCTTTAAATTGTTAATGTATATGTTATGAAATTAAGTATATTAGAGGTCAGATTCAAACCCAGGCCACTATTTTGGAAATACTTCTTTAGAACAACCATATTTATCCTACTATTAAGATATGAAGAAATACTGGGAATGATTTTGTGTCAGTCACTATCACAGGTGGAGACTGTCGATTATTTGCTTATCCTCCTCTCTTTATTGTTATTCCTCAGTTATATTGTTTCAATCAAGCATTATTGATTTATTGAGTTTGTAGTTGACTATTTATTGAGCTTGAAACAGTTGGTTATTTCGTTAATAGATTTTGTGGCTCTGCAAAATCTCGAGCACCACGCTGGAGAAATGAAAAAAGCATGTCGGCCACTGTCCTCATGCTTCCAGTTTAATTCTTAGACAAATATGTAACCAACTAATCCAAGGAATGAGACAGGGTTGTTGAGGTATTTATAAGGTGTAGTAGAGAGCGGGAGAAGCGCGTGTATACCTCGGAAGGTAAGTCACACGTGGAATCAAATTCCGCCAGGGTCCACTGAAGTTTAATGAAAAACAATATTGAATCAGGTAGACAAGGTGGGAGGGCTCTCTAGGTAGAGGGAATAGCCATCAGGGTCATAGAATCATAGGACAGTGAGCTTTTTTTAGGAATTGAGTCATTGAATGTGACCAAGTAGAACATGAGTATGGAGGTGGATGGTGAGTCTTTAAGTCAAAGGGCTCTGTAGGAACCCTAAAGAACTTGGATTCACCCCACTAGCATTAGTGATACACTCAAGAGTGTGAAGCAGGAAAATGGTGTGATCAGATTTGCATTCTGGAAAAGTAGGTTTTCCTTGTGAAGTAGCAACAGAAGACTGAACACTACAGGCAGAAGACTCAGTAGGAAGATGTGGCAGTGATCCCCATGGTGGTGATGATCTCCATGGTGGAGGTGATCCCCATGGTGGAGGTGATCTCTACGGTTGAGGTTGAACTCCACAGTGGAGGTGATCCCCACGGTTGATGTGATCCCCATGGTGGAAGTGATCTCCACGGTGGAGGTGATCCCCATGGTTGATGTGATCCCCATGGTGGAGGTTGATCCCATGGTGGTGGTGATCCCC